GAGATGTTTATCTATTTATCAAACCTAATTCGAAAAGCAATCACAACGTTTACAGAACGTTATATCACAACTAATTTTACACCAACTGTCCCAAAAATTGTTATCGTTTTTATGGAGCGTTTTAAAACGATTTGTGTTTTGATTGCAGATTTTTTGCAACAAAATATCATAAAAACGTTATAATAACGTACGCAAAAAACTGAAAATCGAATGTATAATTACATAACGAAATCACAACGTTCACAGAACGTTATAGCAAAACCAAATTTGCACCAATTTTTCCGAAAATTTATCGTTTTTATAATACGGTCTAAAAACGGTTTTAAAACGATCGTCATTGCAGTTTCTTATATAATAACGTACACAAAATACTCACAAACAAGTTTATCACAACGAAATCACAACGTTCACAGAATGTTACCACACAACCAAAATGACCATTTTATTTCAGCAAATATTTACATAGTTTAGAAACGCTATCGTACGCAATGCTATGCCCAAAAAAACTTACAATAGGCTTTCTTATAACGAAATCACAATCTCACACAGGTCATAATTATAACAATCAAATTTGAACCAATTATTTAGAATAATTGTATTCTTCAACTTTAACCCATTGGTTTATTTGTCATAAAAATAATTGTGGTCACCGTCATCGTCGATGCATATCCATTTACTGTACCACATTTCTGAATCAGCTGAGTCTGGCCAACGTATGAAATGTTTAATTTCGTATACTATATACATAATTTTTAATCGTATGTAAAGAACATCGACAAAAAAAAAACTCTTTTACCGTTAGTGAGATTGTCCATTGCACTTTTTTTTCCCCGTTAGGACGACGTCGATTTTTCTGATTTTAGCTTCTGCCTAATTGAATTACCTAAATGAATTATTAATTACTGTCAAGTAAAGAAGATACCATTTCAAAACATATCGGTCTATTATTTCCTTGTTCGAGCATAGAGACTGAACTTAGCAGTCATCAACTCCTTAATTACGGTTTTCACCTGAAACTGAATAACAATTTACGTTTGGAATACTTCCTTATAGTCCTTAAAGTCCAGGCTTTATTTATATTATATATAAAATTAAATCATATTATTGTGATAATTACTGAAATTTTAGGCTATTAACATGATATAACCTTGTAGGTACTGTTTGCGTACGTTTACCATTCCATAATAATCACTTAAACCAGATTAATTATCTATCACGTTATTCAATTATTAGGCAACTTAAATACATTGATTTAGAATGGGATTTATGTTATAAGGATGTCCTCTATCGCGGTTTTCAAACTAGTTATTAGAAAGTGTCAAGTTACCATTATAATTTTTACTTATCGTATATTATATTTTCTTAAATATTTTTCCTACACATGTTATTTTAAATATAAATACGTTTATTCTAATCTGCAATTTGTTTATATGACTAACATTCAACAGTCAAATAATATATATAACATCCTACATTTAGAAATTATTATAAAAAGCAAAGTAGGACTATTGTAATTTCAATTTAAACATTTTGTGTGCACTTTTTACAGACACTTGACCAAGTTTGTGATGAAGAAGATGTAAATGTCAGAAGACGATGGACGACGGCAATATCATGAGAATGTCTTTGATTTGTAGCACATCTTTTTAGACTGATACAAAGTTCTACACCGTAAATGGTTCCTTTGTGGCTGAATAGCCATGAACTACTTCCATTGCAAAGGCTGGATCCAAAGACAGTGTAGCCATCTGTTATCCTCAGTATCCTAGGTGTTTTAAGTATGTATTATAAGAGTTTATGTACACTAAGCCTCTTGTTTATCTTTGATAAATGTTTATGACATTTTAAAAATCAAATGAACTTGCCAAATACTGAATAAATTATACGGAACTTGATCTTTTATGAACTGTAATTCCAGAACTAGTATAGAATTGTCAGCACTTGATGCTAATTTGATTTTGATTTATTATTTTTTGGGAAATTAATTAATTTATATGCTCTTGTCCTATTTTAAAATGGAGCTGTTGCTACTACAGTATAGTAGTACCATAAAGAAAATAGAACAGAAGGAGTAACGTCGGATAGTTTACTACTGCTTAATCCAATTAAACGGTGAACTAGCTCCTATTAAAATGTACTACGACCGCCCGTGGAGCTTATCACAAAACGATCTCTTTATACACACAGCTACTCGCCGCCGAATGTAAAAATATTTTGACAGTCCAACGTTAGTGGAGTAAATAATTTCAACCAAGTAATAAAAAAAACAATACACATGCGCAGTCGATTTTTTCAAGTGCTTTTTAATGCGTGTTTACGATATACAGATAAAAAAATTTTCAACGAGAAAATAAATACTTAAAACATCAAAATCGGCCTTAAATAAGTGCTTGTTTCATTAATTGTAAGTACCGACTCATTTTATATGCTATAATGAAATGAATGTGACTAAAGTATGTTTTTAAGAAGTTCCGGTTTTCACAGGTTGGTTAACTGTAATTTAATCATAATAAAATACTTGTAGTGTATTGTAGTAAATGAGTAATACTAAAAGCAAGGTAAGATTATTACAAATGTTTCTAGGAATACTGTTTGTATTTTTTAACCCATCATACAGTGGTTGTTATGTAAAATGTTATAAAAACATTTTTTTTAAATGAATTAAAATGAAAATTTATTTTTTGTT